CAGCGTCATACCAGAGTCAAGCAACGTCATCGTCTTCTAAGCTAAGGTGAGAATAAAGAAACATGAATGATACTTTTTGCAATTTATATTATTATAGCGAAGGCACGTTTTTTGGAATTGGAAATCCGTTACTTGATATAAGTGCAAAAGTAGATGCAGAAGTCTTGACAAAGTATGTACACTTTTTGTACTTAATGAAAGATAACGTTTTCTTCTTTATCTCATCCGAAGATATAATTTGAAACTGAATGATGCAATTTTGGCACGAGAAGAACATGAGGCATTGTAAGTTTCAATTATAAGGTAGAAGATATAGTTTTCTGTGTTTAAAGATTTGAGAAGCTCAAACGTGATACAAAAATCCCGACACGACATATGGCCGGAGGATCAACCCAAAATATAATGCGCACAATAACGGTACAAATCATTGAGAATGGTTTTAAAGTCTAATATTAATGTCATATTGTAGTGGTTTCTGAATCAACGAAAAGTAGCAACGTATATGGGCTGTGTAGGATCTGACCATCATGGTGATACATTAAAAGAGGTCGCAGAAAAAGCTGGGTTAACCACAGTGTATCAGATTAAACAAGAGTCATCAACAGGAAAATGTGCTATTCTTCTAACGACAACTGGCAGGTAGTAGTACCTTCTGTTATTCTTTGAAATTAATGAATTTTCACGGTTAGATCAATGGTGGCGAGTTTAGGAGCGTCGCAGGAATTTTCTCTCAAGCAGTTGGAACAAACTGAGTTTCATTCTCACATTGAAAAAGCACAAATTATTTGTTCTGAAGTGAGTGCTGAACGATACTGTTAGAAATAAAAAAATTGAGCTTATGTAGGGATTTTTTATTGCATCATCACGCGAAGCATTCATGGAAGTGGCCAGCTATGCTCACAGTCACAAGAAAATATTCTGCATGACTCTATCGGCAAAATATATTGTTGAGAAGGGTTTTGGTAATTGGCTATTAGCTGCATTACAGTATGCGGATTTTGTTTTCGGATATGAAGAAGTATGTCTTGCTTTTGTATGGAATACTGGGTGTAGATTATATATTTTTTAGGATGCAAAAACCTTTGCCAAAACGCATTTAGATATTGAGGTAATTCAGACTATATGTTATAGTACAGATTCAAAGTTTGTTGTTTTAAGACAGATGATATCCGTACAATCATTTCAGCAATACGTGAAAGTCCCAAACTACTCCTAAAAAGGCCACGTACCGTACTTATTACAAGACGTACCGAACGTACGCTAGTAGCAACAAGTAATTATATCCTTTTATCTGCTAACAATTAATCCTACAAAAATCTTACTATTATTAGAAGACAACATTAAAGAATATCAATGGAAAAGTCCGCCGACTATCGTTGATTCTCATGGCTGTCGAGAAGCATTTGCAGGAGGTAAACTATTAATATTAAAGAAAAATTTCCTCCACCGTTTTTTTCAATGAACTAGGCTTCCTGGCGTACGTGGCATTGAATAAATCTATAGATGCCTGCGTTGATGCTGGTTTATATTGTGCATACGAATCTCTCAAATATAACGGATGTCAGTTCCCAGAAAATGTTTCATATAATCCTGGCACGTTTGTCTCAGATACGGAACAGAAGTAAAATGTACACATTTAATTGTGATTGAAATAAGACCTAGAAATAAATAACAACTTCTCCTATGTGATTGAAATACTGATAATAATGTAAGCGATTCGAGCTTACTGACGAAGGTCCCCAGGTGGCACCTCGATTTTTCCTGAAACATACTTGATTATGGGTAGTTCTTCATGCTGATCACGAATCTGATATCAGTTCGCCTCCATAATACTATTCAGAATCACTGTTGACATTCCGGATCTATAGACATCTACCGCGAGTTTTCGTCTGAACAGATTTTGATTGTGTCAGACAGACTAGCATATCAAGCCAGGGGGAATAAGCGGACTTCGGGACTCCATGGGACTATCGGGCTTCGTGAAGTCCAATGAAGTCCAGAAATCCGTATCAAGTTTTGGACTCCGATAAGATACAGAAAAAAGGCTTTGCTAAGCAGAAGCTGAGTATGTGGGTATATTGAATATCAGAAAAATTCCAACAGCCATGCTAGATCAAAAAGTTGAAGCTTGTTTCATGTCTTTAAAATAAAGATTATTAACTACCCATACAAAGAGATTATTTCATACTAAAAACCCTTCTCTTGGAAATCGGAAGAAGCCCGAAAGGAATCTATCAGAATCATCCTCATATAGTCAACACTTGTTGCTCTCACTATTCATGTATAAGAAGGATTTTAAAAAAACGATTTCAAAAAACCGTGAGATAATACGCTCATTGTGTTATATAGAAGGACGATGATTTCTTTCTTCGTTCACAAAAGAAGAAGATACCTACGGCTTGTCCAGCTAATGGCCTCCATTTTTTGCTCTTTTCGAAAAGTTATTGCAATAAAGCTACAAACTAATCTAAAATGGCAACTAGGTGACTAAGTAGATTAAACATTTCTCTACAAAATGAAAAGTGTCTTGGCTCTGAACGTTGATTCGTTATGCGGCTTGGCCAAACGTTACGGAATTTCATTTTTTAGAATTTTGAACCCTCTAGTTTTTGACATGGATGAGCCTCATAGTTAAAAATTTTATTGCAAGTGTAGTTAGGGAAGTTCTAGCTGCGGTGAAAATTTGAAGTCTCTGGCTCGCATTTATAGAGAGAAAACTTGAAATTACTCACTGTCACGGAATTTCAAAAAATGGAAGAGATTTTCGAATGTTTTCAGTATAACAAAAAATGCTCCGAATGTAAATGTGCTATGAACAAATTCGTCACGACGAAGTTGTAGGTAAATATGAGAGCTATTTAAATATCTATTTGCCTTTTTTTTGTTCTCACTGCCAAGCGATGAAAAGAGGAAAGAGTAGTCATTACGGAATTTCATCTTTTTTTCGTTCTGTTTATTGTAGAAGCTTTTTCTTCTATATTTCTGTAGATGCGTGCATAAAATAAACTGCTGGGTGGTTTGTTTCGATTACTGATCGCATCCATTTATTACGTTAACATAAAAAAAGCACAATTTAATCACCGGTGAAATTATCCTGTAGTTTTCGAGGAATAAAACGTTATGATTCCGCATGGGATAAACACGCTTAAAAATAGAATATTCGGCTCTCAGTACTATTTGAATAATGACGTATTGCTATTTTATCTGTATCTAGTACAGTTAGTGAGTGAACTTTTTGAATAGCAGGTGCTGATTTAACACGAGCAAATAGAGATGTCAGAGCTTATAACAATACTGTTTCATATTTTTCATTAGCGAGGGACGTTCCCCAACTGTTCGCTTTCCGAATGAAACCATGCTTATTCCGAATATGACCATGCGGATTGCCCTTAGCCCTTCGAAGATCCGAATTTCTGGAAAACCAGTTATTCAGAAACTCTAAAAAATAACCAAAATCTTTCTTAATAAGGCACAACCATAGCCCGTAAACTTCTGATTAAAATGAGATATCTCCCAGCTCTACATGACCTTTCTTTGCATAGTTATAGAATTTATAAGAAAAGACCTAAACGTTCACTGTCAGCTCAAGGCTACAGAGATAAGAAGAAATTAGTTTAGTTAGAAATTAGTTCATGTAAATTCTATAACTATGCAAAGAAAGGTCATGTATAGCTGGAAGATGTCTCTTTTTAATCAGAAATTTACGGGCTACAATTGTGCCTCATTAAGAAAGATTTTGGTTACTTTTTAAAGTTTCTGAATAACTGATTTTCCAGAATACCGGATCTTCGAAGGGCTAAGGGCAACCCCCATGGTCATATTGGGAATCAGTATGGTCGATAACCTATTATTCTCCAGTTTTTGTTTTCTATTTTTATTCTAGTTTTCTTTCGGAAAGCGAACAGTTGGGGAACTTCCCTTGTAAGTGAAATTCCGTAACGCTACCTTTTGCAACTATATCGTATCACTTTTCAAATAAAAACTAGTTGAAAAGGTAGCCCTAGAAATACAGAATCTTAATATGCTAAATGACTTACAGAATTCTCCTAGCTTGTTTGAACAATTTTTAAAATACCGATTTTTCGTTACGGATTTCATTAAAAATGCGCAAGTTTTCTGATTAATTCTCAAAAACACGTAAAAACTAGAACAAGAATTGATACGATTAGTAAACAGAAGAACTTCTTCTCTATCCAGCAATGTATTTTTCTTAAGCTGAAACGTCAAGAAGAACGAGAAAAAATAATAAAAGCATATGGTATCAAACGTACCACATTGTTGATGATTCATCTCAATGTTCACCGAATATTTTCCATGTGTTCAGGTACTAATAAAAACAAACGAAAATTATTTTCCTACACTTTAAAGTGTGCTCTTTCACATAACATTAGTTTTACCACTTCATTTAACGCTTCATACTTCCGCACTCTGGTGTACCGTTAGCTGGCCAAGCCGTATGAAAATACAGCTGTTGTACAAACAGCCCCCAAAATCGATTTTTGGGCTATCTTAAAAGCGTGTCTAAAAGAGTGAAGACGAGCTGGTAAACATCGAACAAGTATACCAGTGTATAGAAAATTGTTCGCCCTACAAGATGTGATAGCTTGTCAAGTTCGAAACTATTCTAATTAATCTGTATTAATCAAAGAAAAACCAGAAAAACGATAACGCTGTGACAAAAAACGGTCAAAAGTGTCACAGCGTTACCGTTTTATTTTTAAATGGCAACTAAAATGGTCAATGGATATACGCAATAATACGAATCGACGAAGAAGAAAAGAATAAGAAGACAAGAGCCCTTTAGCAACAATTGTCAAACGGAAAAGAATGACAATCAATCTTTACCATTCGGTCATCTTATGAATCAATACTTTTATTCACTGCTATATGAAACAAAATGCTTCTCCTCTATAGAAAATAAAAGAAATGTTTGAAAAACAAAAATTTTCATAAAAAGAAGTCGTACAAAATTAAATTATTTTATCTTAACTATGTACTGCAAGGAGTTATAGGATCCTTAGTGCGCATAGACTGACAAAATATTATGTAATCAGAGCAGGATATGGGGCTAATGATCGGTCTGTTTAAAGTTTAAATATGTTAATTGTAGTTGCAGTTCGTAGTGCAATAATATTTTCGCCCACCATGGCTACACTCTTTAAACTACCTTTATTTGCTTCTATTTGCTCAATTTCTTGAATGACGTTACATTTGTTATCAAGTAAAAGCACTTTATGATGATTCAATATAGCAATCAACCAGTTTTCATTCGGTAATGATACAAAACTGAGACAATCCTCGGCCCGTAGTCGAACTGATTTTAGACATTTCATTGTTTTATCTCGAACCTCAAAACTGTCACTGCGACCGCTGTTCAATGTCAGGCCGATATATAAGCCGCTTTGCGAAAAGCGTATACACTGAATGATTTCATCTTTTCTACAAGATTCGGGTGCAGTCCAACAATGTGGACGTTTCCAATTAGCTACCCGCCATTCTTCAATCTGTGAGCCTTTACCCAGATACGATAATAACAATGTATTGCCTGAGCATGTGCATCGTTGAAATGGATATTTTCCGTCTGCACGAATGTTTTCGATTAGATCGGGTGCTTTCTTATTAGGATCAAAGGTATACAATTGGTTCTCCGTTAGTACTATAAAATAGTTCATTGATGCGCACCAACAAATATCAACGACATTGCTCAAAGGGATAGTTAGTCGATATTTAGCAGCTGGTTCGATGACAGATAGCTCCTCATTTTCCTGGTATATTAGCAGTGTATCCGAAGAGCCCATTACCTGACCAGGATCAAGTGGACCAATTTTGCGATACGGCCGATTTTTAAAATGCATTAGGTTATAATCTAATTGTGATGAGGTTCTCATTCGTACCTGTCCTCGTGGTACTGCATCACTCTGAACTATGATAATTTCTATCATCCTTTCCCAATCGAGTTCTAAAGTTTTGTCTATGTTAACTGTAATAGAGGTTGTAGACGCGTCTTCAATTTCATTATTCAACTGAGACAATTTATCTCTATAGTCATGTAGATGTGTCTCAACGTAGTTTTTGGCGTCTTTTATTGTACGCAGCTCACTCGAAATCGGTTTTAAACGCTTACACAGCGTATCGTGTCGCTCGTCCATATGTTTTTTGACCGTTTCACGTGCTTTTTTCGCTCGTAATTCAACTTTATCTTTCATGTCAGCCTCCCAATCATCAATAGTTTTTAGAAGACGTCGTGGATTAAACTTATTCAGATTTGAATCATTTTCATTTAATACTTGTACTAAAAGATCATAATCGGATAAAATATGATCAAATTGCTTGGATAGTTTCTGCCGGTGTTCACTGTAACAAGCTGGACAAAATGGAGTAGAGCATCCGATGCATACACAAGTGGCTTCATGTTTATTACATTCAAAGCATAGTGTTTTAGCATCGATCGGGAATGAAGTTGTTATAGATGGGTGATGCGCAGCAGAAGAAGTTGATAAACGTTTACTGGCTTCGGACATTTACCTGCCAAAAAATTAGTATATTCTCATGCATAAGAAAAAGTAAAACTAATCTTACTTTCTTTCCACGGGATTTCCAATTCCAAAAAACGTGCCTTCGCTAT